ATCCTGAGAGGATCATACTGCCAAATTATTCAAGAGCACCTGATACACATTCACGCTGCATATTAACACAATATACATGTGTAAAATAAATACAATATGATACAATTATGTGAAAAATAGTCAATAAATAATAAGAAGCAAAACTATTGTTTTTATTTTATTCATGATTCCTACCTAACCAAGTTTTTCCTAATAGTTATTCTTTAAAATCGCACCGAATAAAATGAATTTGTTGTTATAATAATTCACTTCATACTGAGTTCATACTAAGTTCATAGGTTGACCTATGTTTCATTGAATATTAAACATAACCTCAAAAAAAATTTTTGTTTTCTTAATAATTTAAGTTCTCAGAAGTGTCCGTCAATAATCTTTTTTTTTACAGTCATTTACTTGCGATTTCGAACCTAGAAAATAATATTTCATGATTGTTGGTTCTTAGGCTAACTATGTATGAACGCAGAACAATGTCCTTTAACATTTTATTTAAAATGATTGAACACTAAAATTTCATAAAAAAAAAATGGTTGCCTGTAAAGTCGGTTTTACGGGCGAAGATTTTACGTGACAACGTCTTTTTCTCGGTAGAATATTTATTGATATGAATATAATTAAATTGCACAATAGGAACAAGGAATTGAATGAAAATAAGAATTGCACAAATTTTAACTATAGAAATATATTTTGTTTACTAAAACATTGTACATGTAAACTTAAACTTAACACGAGAGACTCATCGTAACGTTACCGAGCGTTACACTTTTTCATAAGTGACTCCCAGCCGCAACCTAATTTAAGACGTTGTCACGTCAAAAATGGTTGCCTGTAAAGTCGGTTTTACGGGCGAAGATTTTACGTGACAACGTCTTTTTCTCGGTAGAATATTTATTGATATGAATATAATTAAATTGCACAATAGGAACAAGGAATTGAATGAAAATAAGAATTGCACAAATTTTAACTATAGAAATATATTTTGTTTACTAAAACATTGTACATGTAAACTTAAACTTAACACGAGAGACTCATCGTAACGTTACCGAGCGTTACACTTTTTCATAAGTGACTCCCAGCCGCAACCTAATTACCCGGCTGCGCAATGCAAGAGCGCGAAGCGCGACGCGCAGACAGGGTTATGTGTTTATTACCCGGCTGCGCAATGCAAGAGCGCGAAGCGCGACGCGCAGACAGGGTTATGTGTTTAACAGTCTATATATGTATGTTTGTTCCTTTGTGGCACACTAGAGACCAAACGCCTGGACCGATTTTGATGATTCATACATCAATCGATTCGTCTCAATCATGGGAGTGCTACTAAAGATATGATAGTAATCAAAATTCAGTATGGGCAAAATTAGGCGCCATATTGTGACGAAGTAAAAAAAATAAGTTGACAAAATATGTCGAGTGGGGTATCACTGTCTAGATAATCAAAAATCATATTTAGGTTCCTAACACCATTTTTCATTGTATATGATTGTTTAGGATCTACAACGCTTTTAAGTTGTATATTAACCACTTACGCTTTTAATTTCAATCTTACGTTTGTATGGTTTTTGTTGCTCTTTCACCAAAAAAATACTGAATGGATTTTAATGAAACTTAACGGTAATATAGCTCATATATGATAATTACATATATATAATAATTTATGTAGTTATTGAGTGAATTGGCCAATATATAACAATAAGTTTCACATAAGACGAAAAAAAATCTCCCATTTGCGAGCCATTTTGGCCTGCACTACAAAAACAATAAAAGTTACATGAATGTAATGTAGAGTGAAAATGTATCTCTTAAATAGTTCTAAAAAAAGTCCGTGACACCATATATCTATTTTTAATGTGTAAGTCATTACCGCTAAAATAGTGAATCAAAACTAAAATATTATTTGATATCTATTTCCAAAATGCACATTTTGTATTAACAAATCATGTTTTATCAAAACAAATACTTTTATCGCTTTTGATATTTAGAGACGATAAACTTTGCTTTTTACAGTATGTCATTCCGAAAAATATTTAAAAAGTTACAACGATGACAAAGTGATAGCGCGGTGTACTATGTAAAAGAAAAAAAATGGGGTATTCGCAGTATCTGATCCTATACGAAGTACTAACAATAAAACTGTGATACAGTTCTTTCTTATTGAATGATGAAAAATATATTATCATAATAGGTATTTATAATTATTGAATTTTAATGAAAAACTCAGAATTTTACTGTTTCTCATTTTTTTAACGATATTACTTAATGTTACAAAAAAGGTTTACTTAATATAATGACAAATAACCCATTTTTCGCTAGTAAGTACATACCTATTGTAATCCCTGTATTTATTAATCAGCTCGCGATAATATTGTTTATTGTATACCAAGTTCCCGTCTACTTCTATATGGGAATTCATTATATTCGATTTAGCTATTAGAGCACGGAAGCGCAACAAACAAACTCACTTTCGCATCTATAATATTATATTATACTTGCTAGTGATCCACCCGGGCATTGTACGGGCGAAATTTATTTATCGGGATAAAATATAGCCTATGTCACTCGGACAAAATGTATTTAAATAAAGAAAAATGTTATAATAAATAATGTAACTACCTTATGATGAATTAATATTTGAAACCGATTCAGTAGTTTGACAGATTATTTGTTACAAACATACAAATCTTGCCTCTTTATAATATTAGTATAGATAGTTAGGATAAGATAAGTATTTAATTGATGAAAAAGATTTAAAAATAAAGTAAGTAATAGGTTTATTTGATTATCTTTGTAAAAGTTACTTAGCATTTGTGCTTAACAGTGATACGGTATTCAGTATTTTTATAACAAAAAAAATATTTGGAAAATAATTGCCATGATTGCACTACTGAGAGTACTCTTCATTCGAGCTTTACACTACCAATAAAAAAGGGTCGAACACAAAGTCTTTGACCTGTTAAATGTGAACGCTTTAAAAGAAAACTACAAAGAGAACTATAAATTGATAATAAATGACATTGCTATGGTGCTCTACCTAACGTTATGAAAATTTTATTATGCGCCTTTAGTTTAATCAAATATTATAAACTTTGCTTTGGTGATTGCATAATTATTTAATTTAGTGATCTAAGGCAGTTGCCACCATTGTCCAAAACAACAGACGTGAGTTACTGCTTTCTTCAACCTGTGACATAAACGTCATTGATTGGTATTGTATATAGGGTGATTAAAAACATTTGAAGTTAACTTCTGGCATTTACATATTGGCTTTCTGTGAATTATGTAGGTATATCAAATTATGAGACTAGGGACTGACACTGAGTTTGTGTATATCACAATCTTAGACGTCCGGCATTGACATGACAATGCAGCCACTGCCAATTTTAAATAGTCGACGAATAAAAGTAAATTACTTTTATATTTACTGCTAAACTATTAAAAAAAACATAAACAAAAGATGATTTTTTGAGTAAGTGCTAGTTTACTATAAAATTTACATACATTAGAGATATTTATGTAACGACTTGATTTAACTTCACACATTTTTGCGAAAATTGAGGCCCATCTGTAGCTTTGACCCCGCGGGTAGTCGTTATATGTCTTAATAAATCAATCTTTTAGACCGACGCAAGGTACTTAATAATTCCCGCGATATTAATTCCCTTACTGAAGTAACAAGACAACGGTATATACCGTCTTAAAATACTAACTAACTAAAAAGTGTGAAATAAAAAAGGTAAATTTAAAAATCAAAAAACCCGACTGCTTAATTATACTTCAAATAAAAACTGAAAAGAAAAAAACAAGTCCAGTAGTCTATAATTCTGTTAATAAGGAACAAAGCTACTTTAACAGTCGGGACCCACTGTTGTGTTGTATATGTATTCTTGAATATCTAATGGGTCCAGACTGTTAAAGTAACTTTGTTCCTTATTAACAGAATTATAGACTACTGGACTTGTTTTTTTCTTTTCAGTTTTTATTTGAAGTATAATTAAGCAGTCGGGTTTTTTGATTTTTAAATTTACCTTTTTTTTTAAGACGTTGTCACGTCAAAATAATTTATTAAATGGAAAAAAATCTGTGAATGTAGTTCTATTTATTATTAAAAATAAAATGTCTTCTTGCAGTAAAATATCCTATCTTCAATATTTAATATACTTTCCCTCCGTGTGGCATGGCAGTGGGACGCCCTGTATACACCGTGAATTTTGAGTTACCTTAGAAACTTAACCAGCTGATTCAGACATAGATTTAGATTATATTTACGCAAAAAAAACTGATATTATTTTTTTGAAAAATGTCTCCACGTTAAGTCACTTATTCTGCAAATAATAAAAACCTTAACATTTTTATTGTTATAAATTGATACAAATACAACTACTTTTAGGATCTGCGTTCTTTAATAATTCCGTAATGGGTATGTTATTTACAAGTTAGTGTCATCTTTAAACAATATAAAACTATATTTTTGTATGGGGGTGTAGTAAACGTGTGTAGTACGTTTACTACATCTTCATACAAAAATATTAATTACTATACTACTGTTTTTAACTATTTGTTTGTACTATGTTTGACGACCTCCCGGGTCCCGGGTTCGAATCCCGGTGGGGGCAGATGTTTGTGTGAAGAATACGAGCATTTGTACTCCAGTCACGGATGTTTAATATGTATTTATATAAATATATACTTATATATGTACAGTATATGTATTCTATCCGTTACCCTAGCATCCCATAACACAAGCCTTATAGTACTTACTTTGGGGCTAGGCTAATTGGTGTGAGTGTTGGAAATATTCATTTATATTTATTTATTTATGTTTATTTACACGATTTTTTAGTTTCTCGAGTAACTCAAAATTCGAGGTGTAGGTATATACTGTGGTAATGTAAACGAATTTCGGTGTATCCCTAAAAATCACCATGTACTTCGCAATTTTTTCCGTTCAACTTTGCCATGTCTCATTACATTTTTGTTGTTTTTGATCGTTGTATTTTATTCCCAAGGTGGCAATGGAAACTAACGCCGGGAAGCCAGAAACACTGTGCCACGTGTGTGGCGACAAGGCATCAGGCAAACACTATGGGGTACCATCGTGTGACGGCTGCAGAGGATTCTTTAAAAGAAGTATCAGACGGTATGTAAGTTATACCGCAGTTTCTAATAAAATTAAGTTAGGTACGTAAATACATAAGTAGGTAGGTATCGAAATGCGACGATCAAATATTTTCGTGAAATATAATAAAAGGTCTTTACGAAAACTAAGCATTATATTATTTAGTAAAAATAATTATGTATTTTATCATTATCCCATTAATTAATATGAGTAGATTATACAGACAGACGAGGAAAGCGACGTTACTCTATAGATACCTACTATGCAATTATATTAATAAACTGTTTATGGAAAAGTAGCACTGCACGAATATATATGAAAAATAACTAGTGAACGAGACGATTCTACCTAGCGGATTTTAAATAAAAAAGTATTTTTTTCTGCGAAAACTCGTTATAACCGGTATTACCTAAGAAACATCTTTAGTCGTTTTTGAATTAAGCTAAAAATATTCTAAGAAACTCACGATATAAAAATCTTACAATCAAATCCATATAATGTAGGTATATAAAAAGGAATCGTCGAACAGTATGTATGCGCATCACTTCCGAACGACTGAACCAAATTGGATAATTATTTTTTAATTGTATGCGTAATTGTCAGAACAAGGTTTGTATAAACGAAATTTTTAAAAAGTAAAAGATATAATTAATGCATGAAATATTTTTAAAATAAAGTTATTCAGCATTCCGCAATTTTCTCAATTGCTTATTTCTTTGGAATTCACTCCAAATCAGTGTTATAATAGATTTATAAAAAATATAACAAAAATTGCAGGAAAAATAGCATATACAAATCTATAGCTACAGAAATTGGAGGAGACTGAATGAATATGATAAGTATAAATATCATAGGTTTGTAACTTGTACTGTAACTTTCATTCGGTTGAACCAAGCTAAACTGCGGTTGAAGAGTAAAATTACGTGGTGCAATTAACACCGAAGGAGATGCAGCAGGAGTGGTCCATCGACCATTATCCCACCGTCGCATGCACAGTGGTTATCTGCGTCATTATGAACACGAGCAAGATGTTATGACATAAATGTTCGTTCGTTACGGTGGGTGAGCTAGATCTATCAACACGTCTTATTATTCTAAGATGGAATCGGTAGAACTCTGAAGACATTTTTAATATCATAGAATTGGGCCACTGTTCATGAGAAATCTGATATTGGGGTAGTAGTTGCTTCTTCTGAAATAACGGCCAACAATATAGCCGTGTAATTTTATAAAAACATTGCAGATAGAATAAGGTGTCTCGGGGGATCTTGGACTGTCCCCAACCAAGACAGTCAAAGACACAGTAAAAGAAATAAGGGCTTGCCTCTATTAATCAGCGCCATGTAATGAATTTGTAATGGCAGTAAATAGGAGAGATACATTGCTGAACAATCAATCTACAGAAGATTCCTCCGAACAATTACTAACTATGGTAAAAGCTGTGTTCATGTCGAAAAAAGATTGTTCAAGGATAGCTATCATTTCCTTTAGATAATTGTAAGCGGTACGAAGTTCGCCGGGTCAGTTAGTGTTTTAATAAGAATGAAAACATAGGATTTTACTTTCTTATTTTCTCAATACCAAGGAGAAGGTATTTAATACTGAACAATACGAAAAAAGTAACTAAAAATATTTTTCAGGAATCTCGACTATGTTTGTAAAGAAAATGGTCGATGTGTGGTGGACGTGACTCGTCGAAACCAGTGTCAAGCTTGTCGGTTTTCCAAGTGCCTCAGAGTGAACATGAAGAAAGATGGTAAGGACAGAAATTTCACATTAGGTTTTTTATAATTAATTATATATCCATTTTTTCTGACGCGAGGCTTTTGTGTGAAAAATATTGTTACTCAATCGGATAGCAGAGGATGCGGGTTCGAGTCCCGTCTGCTGCCTGGACCGCATGGAAATTCTTTCTAGTAAATTTTTCTACAGATTTAAACAATTTCCTTTATTGTAATTTACAAATTATTATATAGATAAATCTAACATAAATATTATTATCTGTACGCTGGTTCTTGGCCCAGAAGTGACCTGATCATTTAAGGCTTGCGTGGGAAGCTATAATACATAAATTAACTGAACCATGGAAAATCTATAGCTGTATCCGTGGATTGGCTAATTCCTCTTTTTATACCTAAAAAACACTATCATTAATTAACTGATTAATCCATCTTATCTGTAGCAAAAGTTTATCTGGACCCAATGAGTGTTGCAAATCTATGTGTTATCTACTTTATTTGACTGCACTCAAATACCTTTGTGAAAGAGAAATTAATCTCATATCTTTCTTTAATAAAGAGGCAGCGTGAAGGCAGCCGTTCAATATATGCAACTGTATATATTATATATAGTTAGTAACAAATTCTGAATCATTTCGTTTCAATGCCGGGCTCTTGTACCAATAAAGTATTTATCCAGAATGCCTCGTCGTAGCATGTCTTTTCCATTAGGAGAAGCTCGAGTATTTGCGGTGCGCAATTGTCAGTGAGTGGTGAGGAAAAATGCGGGGGAATAGTGTCAACTTACTTCCCTTATGGGGCGAGCGGGCACACCGTGACTTTCACACGATTTTCGAATACCTAGTACGTCATTATCGCTGATAACGTCAAAATAAAAGAGCATTTTTTGAAGTGAAAACTTCTTTAGCGGCGTTGTACACTTTTTTTGTAATGGGTAAAAAATGTTAAACTCGCGTCAGGACACGTGGCCTGATCGCGTCAGGACACGTGACCTAATCGAAAATTCGTAAGACGAAAACAATAAAATTGGAAAGGTTGTTGACTTTCAATAAATGGGACGAAACATAGTAATATTTTATGTTATTGTATTATAATAATAAGTCTCTATCTAGTACGTCCTGGTAGCAGCTTTATTGCGAAGAAAATGCATTTTTTTAGAGATGCGCCGAATATTCGTATTCGGTACATTCGGCATATTTTTTAAAGTTCCTATTCGGCCGAATATTCAGTTGATGTGCCGAATGATTACCGAATAATTAAATTATTATTATTATTTCAAAACAACGTTTTCCTTTCATAATTAAGTTTAATTAAAAAGGTATGGTTCATTGTGAGAACTGTTGGTACACAGTTTTTATAAATGAATACGTACATAAAGTCACGCCTTTCTCCCACAGGGGTAGGCAGAGATTACTTCTTTCCACTTGCTACGATCCTTACATACATTTTTCGCTTCATCTACTCTCATTACAGTCCTCATACATGCTCGACGATTTCGGGTAGTTTTGACCTTTTATAAATGAAAGACACACTTATTTGTGTAGCAATTCTTTATTGACAAAAGACTTTAAATTACCATTAAGTGATCAGAAAAAAATAGTAAGTCTTGTTTAGTAATAATCATCAATTAAATATTTATAATTATAATTAGAACGCACCGGCTCTTGTAGAGTACAGCACGGACTTGTATAAACCTGTTTGCCGCGCAAAATTGAACCGAATGATTCGGCCGAATCATTCGGTTCGGTACATTTTGAACCGAATATTCTGCCGAACATTCGTATTCGGTCGAACCCACATTCGGCGCATCTCTAATTTTTTTACAATAGATGTCGCTAGGTGCGCTTAAATGTGATTCATGTTAGTTGATTTTTCTGAGAGATAAACTTTTTAATGAAAGATAAACTTTTTAATATATAAATAAATAAATGATAGTACTTTTATACTGATAATTAAAGCAATTCGTGCAAAATTATTCCCTAACCATTCCAAAATATCAAAACTGCACAACGTTAATATTCAAGTTTTCACTTCTGCCGGCACTCCCGGAATGCAACCCGTCGTTTTTTTTTTATTACCGAAATGATATAAACCCCTCCTTATATTAGTGCAATGCATGTTCAGTTGGTGTTCCAAGCGAGTTACAAACAGATCAAATTACCCAAAAATGAGAAAAGTGAAAAATTTGAGACGACTGTGTAGGATCTAGTCGTACTTACGAAATTTTTGTTACACGTCTCGCATTATTTAAATGAAAAAAAGTATAAAAACCATCTTTTTTTAATACTATGAGCTATGTATTGAAAAGGGACTGCATAAAAATTGTGTACATATAAATAAATCAATGCAGGCAGATGTGGAAAACATCAGTTTTGACGGCTGATTTCCCGCCTAAATTGGAGCGCTCGTCTGAGCAGAGCGTCTGATAGCAGCTTCTGCCATAAAGAAAACTGCAGCCAAATTAATCTGTTCTTTATTTTTATATGCTTCAAGTAAATCAGATTTCTAGAACTGTACGAGGAAGGGGATGCAGTCGTCACAACTCGGGGGTAAATATGCTATGAGGCTTTATCGCTCAGGCGAGTTTACCACCATTTAAATAAACCTTTTTATAAACAATTGTAAAAAATTGGTCAAATGCGAGTCGGACTCGCTCACGCGACTGAAACCGAAAACTCATGCAAACACTTTTTGAAGAAATTACTCTGACGGTGCCGGCGTGACAAACAATCCATGCCAAAATTCAACTTTGTAGTCTGCGCTAAGCAGCGGACGGACGGACAAACAGACATAGCGAAACTATGAGGGTTTCTTATTAAACTTAACCTTAAACGACGTTACACACGAAAAATCAAAATATTTCTTAAGAACAATGGAGACAACACTTTAGGATTCATAATTGAATCTGGCTTACAAGTAACTTAAGTTTTTTATTTAATAAACTACAAAAAAAACTAAGTTTTTAACCACAATCAAGCTTAACAGTTCAACGAGGCTCGGCAGCTCAACCCGTCTACTGTTGATATTGATATTGGGGTGTGAAGCCAAACAGTGCTAACGGCCCGTCAGAGCCAGCCGCTGTTCACATCGACGTCGGATGGCGTGTTTGTTTACATGCCAAATTGATTGCACCGCCTCTTGGGGTTTGTCGAGTGGATCTATCTTCAACATATTTTAGAAACACTGAGAAATGTAATTGTGTTGTTCCAGCCGTCCATTCAGCATCGCCGTCATTCTCAAGTTGTTCAATGATACGATATTACGATTTTCAAAATTAGAGAAATAAAGAAGAGGACGTAATGAAGTTTTTTTGTTAAGTCCCCTTACCACGAAAAGATATTTTGATATCTACCTACATTGTATAAACTTTAATTAGCATTTCATGGTAGTGAAGAATATTCTTTCTTAGCATTTCAACATAAATTAAACAGGCCTATTCATTGTCTCAAAAAAAATAACAATAATTAGGGTCTTATTACTGCCGCGGGCGTCCTAGTGCATGTAGAGGAGCTTTGACATGGTTTTGAGAAAATAGCTGTTTTTTGTTAGTTAATTAGTTTTTATACTAGTTACATGATTTTTTTTATGAGTTTTTAATTTCAACTGACGTAGGTAACTCTTTTTGTTGCAAGTTAAATTAAATAGTAATTAATTATAAAAAAAAACACTTTACGGCATAGTAATTACGGTAGTAACTGTGCTTATTATATAACTAGTAAAACCAAGTAAATAGTAAAATAAAAACACTTTAAACGAGTATAAAACGTTGTAGTTTTATTAAATGATTAGTGTGCGTCAAAAATAAATAGAGATATGTAGCATAGTAAACTTTATCAGAAAAAAGTTGTGAGAGTCGTAAGTAGCTATCATAATATTAAATTTCAAATGAGTAGACTTGCGTTTGTTGAGTCTGGATCACGGGCGCGATAAGTTTCCCCATACCGTCACGGCAAATATTCGCCACGCTTATTAAACAACGCTTTCCTCCCCTAATATGAATCTCTTTTACAGAGCTCTCGTGCTTTATTAGGGTAAAAATAACAAGGGTGGCTAAATATGGGTATTTTCGGCAAATGACAGCTTAGTTTCTGAAGTACTCGGAAAAAGTGCTTTTTTTAATTAATGAAAATCTATCTTATTATAGTTTTATTAAATATGTATATTGTGGGTTACCTACAGTGCGAAGAGACGGCGCTGCCTTGCAGCTTAAGGCTAGGAAAATTTCGACTCGGCTAATAGGGCCGTGGTAGCGTAATGGTCAGTGCATTCGCCGGGATAGCGAAGGATGCGGGTTCGAGTCCTGTCCGCTGCCTGGTCTGCGTGGATTTTTTTCTAGTAAACTTTTCTTTAGATTTAAACATCCAGCAGTTAAATGCTTAAAAAATAAATAAAATCATAAATATGTATGTTATTAGTTTTTATATGCCTTTTTAATTGTTTTAACCTATAAGTGAATGTTTCAACAGCGGTACAACACGAACGCGCTCCCCGGCCGGCAGTCCCAGCGGCTCACCACCAGCTGACCCTACAGAAACTCGGCTACAGCCTCAACCGGCAGCAAGCCTTTTTCCCCACTCCCACCCCTCTCACATTCACTGGTTTGCCCCCTCTCCATGCCTACAGTCACCTTGCCCCACCTCCCGACACCTCACCCAATGTACACGCCTCCTTCTTAGAAACCTCCTTTCCAACAACAGATTTCCCGACGTCGAGACTTCCCGAAACGCTACCGGCGGACATACCCCATTTCAGTCCACTTCTCGGCACTCAAGTCGGACCACTCGCTTCGATGAGCCCGTTCAAGATACCTCTATTCTCGAATACTTTACCCTATCCACTTCCACATCATGGATATTTCCCGACTAATATTTTCTACCCGCCCATAATATCTAGCGAGAGTCCTGCAACATGCATGATGCAATCCGCGAGTAGTAAGTATCACGTTATCGAACAGTACGATTTCTTTTATTGATTAAATAATAATTTCTGGTATTTATTTAACATAAGTATGATTATCTGATTATAACGGATTATATATAATTATGGAAAAGAACCGCTCGATCAGGGCATCAGACTGACCTGGGTCGAGTGGAATATTATCTTGTAAAATTTTCTTTACATTTATAAATCTAGCAGTTAATTGCTTAAAATTATAATAGTACATTATGATATAAGTGCGGTAAGCTTAAAAATTACAGCCCAGGCGATATTGTTAGCCCGAGCCGTAGGTGAGGTGTAAGTCATACGACGTTTTATAACACATTTACGAGGAAATAACGCTATATACATATATACTACCTACGTACGTACTTTCTGAAAATGAATTTGCACCTTTGTTTGTTTTCCATAAGGTGAAATTTTGATACGCTTGACTGTAAGTATCTATCCGTGGATTTTTCGGGCAAGAGGCTTAGCGTAGCCTTTTTCGACTTCTGGCGGTGGCAAATTAATAAATTCGTAACTACTTGACAATATTTTCAAATGAAATCAATACAGCGAAAAGAAAAAGAAATAGCTTTTTCAAAGATTAGCGATGCGTGCGCATAAACGCTTTTTTAGGCAAAGGAACAAAAAACAGCCAGTGTTACTAATAAAGTAAATTAATATTTTTGTGAATTTGTTACCGATACATGGTTGTAAACTAACAATATTACTAAAAGTTATAAATGTCATTTATTTTTTGCAAATAGCCTTATAAATAGCGCTTTTTTTGCTATTGCGAATGAAACTTGTTAACCTACTTTTTTCATATTTAATCGTGCTGATTAATGTGATATAGCTTGGAATATAGCCTGTATTTTTTTTTGCAGAAGCACCAGCACAAAGGAACAGTCCTTCTAAATTTTCTCCACCATTCGAACACACTGAAAAACCTGATTCACAATTATGCGAAAAAATAAAAGAGGATGAAGTATCAAGTTCAGAAGAAGCTTTTAAAACGGAATGCTCTCCCGAAAATCGCAACAAAGACAGTAAGTAAAAGAAATGTACCTACTCTAAAATAAATTTAGGAAAAATTAATGTGACCTACATTTAGTTTTAAGCACACCCAAGATTTTTTAGAGCTGAGCGAAGGAATTATGCTAATGTAGCGAATGAAATACATTGTGGTAAATGGTAACAAAATTGTCATCATGCATAATTAAAGAGTAACAGTTAAAGACTATAACTCTTAACTCAACGTTATGTTATGAATAAATATGTTCTCCTAAACCTTTAACTGCACGTTTTTTCTATTTTTCTGTCTAGACTTGCGCACTCGTCAAGATTCTCCGTGCGAACCGCCAATATTCGTAGTATCACGAAAATTTGAAAAGTATGGGTTGCAAATTGCGAATCAAAAGGATAATGTAGATCAGCAAACAGAAGATCGCCAAAGAATAACCTTAACTGAGAAAGCAGTTTGCGGAGAGATCTTTAGCCAATACGGATCGAAAATAAGAAAACGAATCCAAGATGATTGGTCATTAGTGTCAGAAGACATATACGATCCTACAGCGAGATTGTTAGTACTTTCGATAAAGTGGTTGCATGGAGTTCCATCGTACGTACAGATGAAAAGTTGTGATCAAATAAGTTTACTCACAAATAATTGGAAAGAACTTTTTGTTCTAACGGCAGCTCAACATTCTTTTCAAATAGACGAAGGTTGGTGTGTATATGGTACTCGCTTGACTACTACCGTACTCGTAATTTTTTTAATAAATGGTTTGGAGATTTATGTCAGCATTTTTTCCCAGGCACAGTGGCAAAAACTTTCAATTGTAAAGGACTAACACTTAAAAATGAATTGGGAAAACTAAGCACTCTACTGCGCCGGATATGTCAATTCAGATTAGATAAATCCGAATATGACTGGTTGAAGTCTGCGCTTTTGTTTCGTACAGGTGAGCGGTCTAGATTCTTTCCTTACCTAGTTGACCCAATTATGGGTGGAATAAATACATGAAATTATGTTTGTGTAGCTGATTAAATTTTCATTTAACGGCTCTGTTATCCATATTAACCATATATGTGTATATTCTTACCTACCTAACCTTTTTTTAACCCCTTTTATTATAGATGCCGTAGACAGCCCTTCATCAGCGCAAATAGAAAGTTTACAGGAGCAGACACTTTTATTACTTCAAAAGCACTGCTTAACTAAGGATTCGAGCCGTTTGGGGCGGATCATGATGCTGTTGCCTAGCATCTGCGCCTTGGCCAACCAGAATATTCTCCAAAACCTACTCTTCCCTTCCACTGCTATAGAAGATATTAACGCCACTTTGACGAGAATACTGATGTACACTTCGACTTGAACATACATATACTGTTTAACTCCTATCTACTAATAATATCTGTACAATACATGGCTGACTACAAATTCAAAAATCTATGAATCGGATGTTTTCCAATTACCACTAAAAGGTTGTTATAATAAAATGTATTATTTACATACCTTGTGTGTAATTTACAATTTTATCAAAATTAGTTGATACCCACGACTACCGCGTTGTACAATGGTACATGGTATAGGTTCTTTGTTACCCATCTTCCTCATACCAAGATTCATTAAAATCAGTTCAGATAATGATTGAAATACTTTCCAATGAGTATGACGGAATGGAATACGTCCTTTTGTCAAAGCGGGCATACTTAATTGAAAACAGCTGATTTCTGAGATACACGTTTTCCTACCTTTCTTCTTGATTTGACCGACACGTGTTATTTTGAAGTTTACTAAAGACTACATTATTTTGTTTAGATTACTTGAGAGTGTATTATTTATAAGACAGTGTAACTTATTATAACAAGAACGTTTGTGTCATATTGTCGAATATCCTAATAACAAAATAAAAGACTGAACTTAATTTCTTATTTTCCAATGTATGTAATCTATTCACCCTAATAATATAAGTACAGTATGTATACTTCTCCTGAATCCATTGACTACGGAAAAAACATAATAGTACAAACAAATCCAATACAAAATATCTGCGAGTATAATGACTACACCTGGCAGCCACAAGTCATTGATCATAGCTGCAATACCAATGATCATTACGAGGAAAACATCCATAACGAAATAAAACAGCCCGAACCACAGGTAAAGTAAGATTAATGTTTCGTTATATGCGAATGCAGCAAATATAAGAATTATGTGTACTGCTGCCATTAAAACCCCTATAACGGCGTAAGCGTGTAAAATGACGCTTGTCATATCAGTACCAATTCCCAACGCATATAAGTACTCATCTCCAATGCTGAGTAGACTGATGTACTGCAGACTCGGTAGCAGCCCCAAGAAACCTATTATGATGGTGCCTATTTTGAGGGTCACACTGTAACAGCACCTCTTGCCCAAAGGGCAGTACATGTTCGGTATGTCTTTCCATGGTTTCATTGTGATTTCTGAAAACCAAAGATTGCATATTATGATCCAGCTAACCAACAATATTTTTAACAAATAAGTCAATGCAACGAATCTTTTGTTGACTTTCTAAAATATTATAATGAAGATCGTTAACTTTTATCAATTTGATATTCGAAGAAGCTAATGTGCTACCGTTTTAACGTCACAGACGTTCGTTGTTGACGGGGACGGGAGCGGGTAGGTATTATAGGCCATACCTTCCCGTCTCGTAGTGTGGGATAAAAAAGGGATAGGAAAGTTCAAAGAGGATGGACTGTTGGGAGTTTCGAGAAAAATAGAGACCAGCATTAAGTGGCATAAACCACAAGTGTCGGTTTGCAATGATGCTTATCAAGCGCTGCGGTTGAGGCAGACATTGTAGCCTTGTTATCCCCTGTGAAGTAGTGCCTAAAATCCCCAGACTTGCTTTGCCATTGCAAAATTTGCCTTCTTCCCGAAGCGCCTGTAACCAACTTACGTCACTGCAGCTATGAAGATTGTACTTTGTTAGTTATTGTGATATCATCGTTTTTTACCATTACTATTCTACTATCTATTAGCTTTACCAATAATACTTAAAGAATATAAAAATCCCATGTCTTGTACCAATCGAACAGATAGGACAAAAAAATCCTAGTTGTGTTCTATAATTAGAATATCTCAAGATCTCTAGTTGGATAGCTTGGATGGGCAGGAGCGTATTCACCCGAGGCCCAAGGTAAAACCTTATAGATTACCTGAGTAGGTACTTACATCCCTTTTTTACTTTTAATATAAATAATTATTTCAACGAGACTGAATTAGTTTTTCCGAAAGGTCTTCACAATAAGTACTGAACTGTTCTAACTATATTTCGGTGTAGGATTGATTACTTTCACTACGGGTGAAAATCTTTTTCGAAGCCATTAGTAGATACCTAAGTATTTTTTTATAATGAAGCGCTTTGGTGCAATGAAACATAATTAAACATGAACTGTGGACATTATCATTATCAGTAAATATTTCTAAGATCTTGACACTGGGTAAGATATTGTTCTTGAATTTGTGAGATTTGAAATTGTCTTTCCGTACCCTGCATCATGGACCTACCATTTCGACATATTGTTTGTTCCAAAGGTTTTTAAAGTCAATACCATTGATGGTATTGACGCTATACCGCAACATGACCACACCTATGTATAGCACCCTCAACACCACAATTGAAAGAAGTACTTGGGGACCGATCAACATAAGGCTTATCCAGCGCTGTGCGTGCTGAGCTTTAATGTAATTCTTCTCACTCAAAACCGCTTATAGGGTGATTCCTGGGACCCATGATTTTAAGGGTCACATTGAAATATTAACTTGAGTAATAGACCAACTTGAGTAAAGTACCTCTCCAAACTTTACTTAACTATTGTACTGTCCCAGAGGCCCATTGATAAAAAATAATATTTAATAAAAGAAATCGGTTAAATATCCATTTCAAACTGAAAAACGCGGTAATTTCACTAGATTTTTACGTGTCACACGCGCGACTATGTTATAGTGAATATATTTTTTTTTACGCTCAAGGTTATTCATGAATATATACTTTTTTTAAATACATACAGAGTTATTCTATTAGATCATGAATAAACTGTTCTGAAATAATCAAAGTCTAGTATACCTTTATTCGTTCAAATACATGTCACGCGGCGGGCATAGTTTCAATCTCGCGGCGAAACTATGACAATTTATTTAGTGGAATACGCGGGCAATGTTCGGACGGGAAGGTAGTGTCCGTAGATTTCGCGCCAAAAATTTTAGATAAGTTCTTTGACTTCTGCAAATGTTTGTCCAACGGGGTAGGTATAACTCGTGGCTCGTTTTGCTGTTAAATTGAGAATAGTTTCATTTAACTGGTCTTTGATTAATAATACGTATATCCCTGTGTAGGCACTGGAGTACAAATAAATACGATTTTATTTATAGTTTTACAGTAATACCTTCATATTTGAATTATCGTCAGATTCGTGGACGTAACATCCGTGGATTTAAGCCATGGATCTGATTTATCGACCATGGATCTGACCACATAATATTATAGCTTCACTGCCTCCGTGGTGTAACGGTTAGAGCGTTGGACTCCCAACCTGAAGGTCGTGAGTTCGAATCCCGCGCGGACCAACATAAAATCTCCTGCTTAGCTGGTTAATCTCGTTAACCCTTACGAGTTTCACCAAAGAACTTAGCATATCAGAGTACGTTACTTCTTTGTATAGTTTCTCTAGCCAGTTGATACTGGCAGCCATGATGACCAAGCCACTGTACAAACCAAGACTGCAAATGTTATCTGAATAGCTTGGACTGATATTTGATTTATAAAGAGAGAAAATATTGAAACTCTTTAGAGAGTTAGTCGTAAACTTTATAAAACAATTATTGTTTTAAAAAGCAACTCTAATGGTAGCCATACACATTACGAGAAATCGTTACGATTAGACTGTACCGTCCGAACGGTACCGATAAATCGTAGCGTTGGTAGCCATACACACTACGAGAAATCGTTACGATCAGACTGTACAGTTCGAACGGAACAGTTTATCGTACGTGGCGTACGTATAGAAAACTGTGCAGTTTTATAACATACGCTACGATTTATCGGTACCGTTCGGACGGTACAGTCTAATCGTAACGATTTCTCGTAGTGTGTATGGCTACCATAATGGTTTTTAAATTATCATCATTCAAAGTTACCGCCGAGCGTACCTAGGTATGCAAAGTGAAGTAGACCTTTACCTTAAGACGCTTGCGATACCAAAAATATCATTCGCACCGTTCCTTACCCTGACCCAATCCTACGGAGCCCTTTAGGCGCTTTGCAGACGACGGGGCGGGGTGGGCCGGTCAATTTCGCCGCGAATAATAGCACAAAGTGAATCCTATACTACAAACGCACACAGAGGGCAAAAAGACCGCGCCGCAGGTGCCCGGCGGGCAGTGGCGGCGCGGCATGACCGCGGCTGCCCGCCGTGGATCATACAAACCAGTTTATATGCAGTAACGCAGACGCGGGGCGGTCAGCTCAGTCCGCGCCGCGCGCTTTTTAGTGATGGACTATTCACTAGAACGAACGTCCTGAACTGACCGCCTCTGCCCGTCGTGTGCTTTGTGTACGCGGCGCGGGCAGCCGCAGACATCGACGGGCAGACGCGGTCTTTATTGCTTCGCGGACAAAATGCCCGCCCCGATTTGTTTCTGCAAAACTTTATTTGCACTATCATATAAAGCTTCACATGTATGTCTGCGTGGTTTTAAATTGTAATAGTTGAGTGAGTGCCATTGAAGCTGCACGAAGATGAGATGAGTCGTGCAGAGCTAATTTGTGTAGCTGGAGCTGACCCGAGCGGGGCAGTGAAGTAGAGAAGAATAGAGTGGAGAACTGAGCGGGGCTGTGATATTTAAGTCTGTATTTCTATAAAAACGGAGCTGAGAAGATATTTATAGAATTTTTTCAATTATATTGCTCAAATGCACACATCCCACCTTCCCTCCCCTTTAGTGGCAATATTATAGGGTGGTTCCTGGGACCAACGTTCTTCGCATCAGATACACGTGGCTTTTATTTTATTTCATTATTAGAAAAAACTAAAATTATATGGCTAAAGAGGGCTGAAAAACAAGTCATTCTGTAGATGAGGCACACACGTAGACCTTATAGATTCTTGAAAAAAAAAGAAAATGTTTTGGCTCGCCACGGATCTGACCAAGGGCATCACGGATCTGACGAAGTATATGTATATCAAATAATGGCGTCGAGTTAGAATCACTTGTTAGAATGCTGCAATAAAGAAAATTATAAATAAAACATCATTATAGCAGAAGTAATCAGAAGTTTTATTTTTTTGTATTTTTTACATCCATTGCATATACAATATTAAAAAATCAATAAATAAACTACTTTGGTATTTGTTGTAAATTCTTACGTTTAAACATCAGTCTTTACTGGGTAGGTACTGTAACGTCCGTAATGTTACAACCTCCTTGTTTAGGTAAACTCTTTGCTTTTGCAATGCCTACGGTTGGCAGTTATATTAAAAAGTTAATGTCATGATTTTAAGATTTGAAATAAGGAATCGAAAAAGACAGACTTTTGATAGAAGGTTCCATTCATTATTACATCTTCAGGCACCAAGAAAACCTCTCGTATTTAGATAAAATTCTTTATACCTGAATGAAATAAATAACTTATCTCTACCAGTATCGTTTAATTAATAAGCACGTCCCCAGGTTCTATCCATTCTGGGTAGAACTCCATATGGTGGACGCGCCGCGTTGATTCAAGTACCGCGAATGAAGAATTATATTTAAATCAAGAAAGAAGTAGTTTTATGAAGATGGAGACCAGGACCACATTCGACGGAAAAGGTGATGTAACCGATTTCTTTCGTCAATTTAATATCATCGCCGCCATCAATAATTTCAACGATGAAACAAAAAGAATTGTGTTGTCGGCATATTTAAGTGGACCTGCATTGTTATTTTATAAAAATATTAATGAGTCTTGTGAGAATTTTCAGATTCTAGAAAAGAAAATTTGTGAGGAATTTCCATCATCGATAAATGCGTTGGAAAATTTTTTCTCACGAAGACAAGGCTTGTCAGAAGAGCCATTGACCTTTTTTTATATATTAGATGACCTGGCCACAAAAGCAGGAGCTGTCATCGATGACAAATGCTTCATTAGACAGTTCTTGAAAAATGCGAATTTAAATACGAAAAATCTTTTCGCATTTCAATTATATAATAATAGAGTGCATTTAAAGGAAGTTTTGCGACAAGCGCAGGACATTTTTGGGGATGAAAATGATGAAGTTAATTGGAATCTGCCGATCCAACCATCGTTTGCTCACTTCGAAGCGACGAAAATTTCTCATATAACGAGGAATGAAGAAGAAACGGAGAAGGAAATCAACGTTGTTTCCTCCCAAAGTGTCCCTTCTCATCCCATTGTCCCTCCCGAACATATGATTCCCCGCACTTTTTGTTCCAGTAACACGAACAAAAAGAAGCTTAAATCAAAGAAGAAGAAGCATCCAAAGAGAAAACTATACGAAGAAAATTTAATGACGATGGCTGATGCAGAAGTTCACCATTCACAGCCGTTACAAAACTGCAATCAATATACAAGTGAGTCCAAACCATTAATTAATATAACGTGTCGTGATAAGGAGTTTGTAGGGCTCATTGATAGTGGTGCTGTAGTGTCTGTGGTGTCAAAAGACACAGTAAATCGAATTCATCAACAAATTGATGAAAGCGATACGAAGTTGAAAGCCGTCGATGTTAAAGAATTGTCTGTTATAGGGAAAGTCAACCTAAAATTATTGATAGACAATGCGTTGTTCATTCACGATTATCTTGTGGTAGAGAATATTAGGCATAACCTCATCTTAGGACAAGATTTCTTACTTCGAAATAATGCGATAGTAGACTTTTATAATGAACAATTAATAATCAAATATATTAAGTGCAAGTTTAAAAGACAATATACACAAAAGAATGATGAAAGGAATAGTGATAATTCGGTGTATGATGAAAATTTATATTATGCCGAATAGGTTGATAGTACAATAATAATATTGTGTTACTAATGAGATTTTATTTCAGTTTATTGTTTATATGAATGTTTTAAAGCAATAGTGGTATGTAAATAAGGTTCAATACAATAGTCATTTTAGAATTTTATTTCAAAAGCATATTAAATATAACTTTGTGATTTTATTAGAATTTTTTTTCAATACACATATTATAAGGAACTTTTACACATTTTGTTTATGACAGATCAATAGGTACTCGTAGTTTCATTAAAGTATTTTCATTTCTTTTAATTGTTAGCTTTAGTGTAATTTGTTGAGTAGGTGGATTATTGATATCGTAATAACCATAAGAATGATAGGTAACAGGTTCGATTCTCTGTTCAACTTGGAATTATTCAATTGACTTTGAATATGATCATTAGTAGGATTAATTCAACATTAGGATAGAATATATATATAATGTATAAAAGGATAATATAGGTCCATAAAGAAAATTCCCTT